TCCCCGGGAACCCACGCTTGCCCTGTACCTTGCCCCAACTTTATTCTTAGGCAGGCAGCCACAGTCTTGCTAGATTCATTACCCAGAGGGCAGCTGTCTGCTTCTCCTTCCGCAGGGTGCCCTGACCAGGCCAGCTAGCTCATTTGTCAAGCAGGCTGGCCCAGGGGGAGGCAAGGACTTTGATTCCACAACGCTCTCGCCAGAGAGGGTTTGGCTTATTTGTTCTGCATTTCTTTGTCCTTAAGGGAACTGTTTGCCCAGCATGCTGATTTACAGAGTGGTGAGTGATCTGGATTTGTGCATGGGTCCACATGAGCTGAGTGATCAGCTCATATGAATGAGCTCCGTGTGTGCTGCCTGACGGACAACATTCAGCTGTGCAGCCCTTGCCCAAGGTTAAACCCAGATTTCAAAAAGCAAACACCTGATTCACATTCTATCTCCTGGCGACTGCCCTTGTCACTGTAGGGACAGCTGCAAAGGGTTTCTGATACTCTGGGTCCTCATCTGTGAAATGGGCCGATGAACAGCCCTGCTGGGAAGGACTTGAGATGGCTCCTTCTGAAGCAGAGCAGCAGAAAACCCTTGGTGAATGGCAGCTGTCTATCAACGGCTGATGAGCTGGTCTTCATCAGAGTGGGAGTCTTAGCAATGGAAGGGGCAGCAGAATGGGTGGGCAGGGGTGGGAACAGGGGCTTTGGGGCTTCATGTGCAGCCCAGGGCCGGGCCTGAGCTCACAGATCATCTTCCAAGGTGCACTTACTCTGTGGTTTAGCTCTGTCCTTCTGCCCACTGGACATCCATATTATTTCCGGTCAGATTTCCTTTCTATTATCAGCTTAATCATGCTGACACCTCAGTGGAATTCTCATTTCATGACCTGGGTCTTGTCCTCTGTCAGTAGCCAGCTCAGCACACAGCCAGCTAATGAATGCACCTGGTCAGTTGCTGGTAGACCAGAAGTTTCTGGGATGGTCAACTCTGCCTCTCTGGGTGATATCCAGACTGTGGGCTCCCCAAGTCCACTTTTCCTTTCATCTCTCTTCTTTGCACCTAGACCTAGAATGCAACCTCGGTTATGTAGGCACAACCAAAGGGAAATACAGACTCCATGCTCAAAAGTTATTAGGAATTTCAAGACGGCAACCACTGAGCGTGAAAACAGGGGTTTTGGGTCTGAGGATGTAGTGCAGTTGGTAGAATCTTTGCTTAGCCCTAGGTTCAATTCCCAAGACTGCATAAAAAGGGGTCACATGCCTATGATGTCAGCACTTATTCAGAGGGTAGAAGCGCGAGAATTAAAAGTTCAAGGTCATTGTCTACTACATACTGGTTTGGGGCTAGCCCAAGCTACATGAAAACACAGGCTTTGTGTTCCTCAGAGGACAGCATCCATGCTTCATGCCCGTGATCCCAGTCCTGTGTGCAGGCAAGGGTTTTATTTAATTCAACACAGGTGATGCCCACGATTCTGTGACAAAGCACTCAGCCATGTTCAGTGGGATGCAGAGTGCTGGGCTAGCAAGCGTGAGCTGCAGGATTGAACCAAGCCCCTGTTCGTTTATGATTCTCAGCTCCTGCACAGGATGGAGCCTTCTGGACACAATGGGCACTAGGTCCCAGCACAGTGATTGTGACTTAATTTGTAGGGTAGATCCTGGGCTTTGGCTTTTAATTAAAACTCCCTTATATTCACCAAGAGTGTTCAAATGTGCGATGCAGTCGGGGTAGAGAGCAACCTGTCGGAGGGTCTGGGTGCACAGCACAGCGGCTTTCACTTCAGCTCAGCCACTGAGTTGGAGTGTGGAAAAGGACAAGCACACTGGCTTTTGCTCCTTTCTTTGTGAGACAGAAAACCCCTGGCTGGCAGCTCTCCTGCAGCCCTGCCCCTCCCTGCCTCTGCTGGGACCATCACTCTGAGCTACCATGCTTTGTCCACTGTTGTAAACTGCCTACAAGACGAGCTTTCCCTCCTGAGTCATGGCTAGGCATGCAGCTCTGTTTAAATATGTCCTACTTGTGCAACCACCACTGTTCTCTGTGTCCAGATGCTTTTTGTCTCTAAAGCGAAACTGTTCATCAGGAGGCTCCCCTGGTCCTGTGCCCAGCGCCTGTGGCCACCCTTTCCTCTGTGTGATCCTCTCAATAGCTCCCCACAGGGGAGCCTGCAGCCTCTGCCTTCGTGGGAGGCCTCTTTCCCAGTGAGGCACCCGGCTCCACAGTGCCCTGGCATGTGCCACGGCTGCCCTCTTGACCGACCATCACCTTTGTTTATGACTCACTTATCCGTCAATACACAATCAGCTCATTTCTATTTTGAAGCTATTGAGAGCAAATACTTTTTGTTGTTGTTGTTACTATATTTTATTTCTTGTTTTATATTTTGGGTTTGGATCAAGGTGTCCTGGAACTCACAGCAACCCCTGCCTCAGCTTTATTTGACTAGTGTGATTACAACATGGGCTGCCACTCCCATTTGCAATTCTAGAATGCTTTTAGCCAACACCGTTGCTCACACAAGCAGAGAAAGAGGGCCTGACTCCAGAGACAGTTGCTCCCACCCTGTTTCTCTCTCAGTTTCTGATGTTTCCTCTGCATTAAGATAAGCTGTTTGCCCAGCAAGTGGCTCAGCCCCCCTCCAACCCCCCGTCATGCACCACGGCTCCGTGGCAGGTAGGAAACTGGACACCTGCAGGTGCTCTTCTATCGAGATCTACGTACACAGCACCTGCACCTGGCCAGCTCACTGGCAAGGCTTGCTCAGCAGCCCTGGAGGTCACAGTGCCCTCTTGTAGCAGACGGGGCAGTGCTCTGTGGTTACCTGACACACACTGGTGGGAAAGGCCGGGCTGAGGGACCCCTGGTCTGATTTCAACACCATTGTCATGGAAGCTGGGCTCCATCACAGCGTCTCTGATTTCACACACTTAGGCCAGGACGGCGATGCCTGACTTTTGAACACTTGTGGCTATTCGATGGAGGAGTGCTGAGCCCCTGGGTGACGCCATGCCTGCCGTCAGGGGTCTTCCTCTCTGGTCCTGGGATTCACACATCTTGTCATGTTTCTGTCAAGTGAAATCATCTGTTTCTGATTTCTTCTTGTACCAGTGAGTGATGCTGGAGATAGATCTTGGGGCCTCAGGCGTGGCGGGCGGGCCACAGCTCCACTCAAAGTCACCCATTTTTGTGACCAAATGAGTGGCAGTGTCAGTAGACTCCAGCCACACAGGCCGATGAGCGGATGCTCTTCATTATTGGGCATGGATGAAGATAGGATGTCACTGTTTCCTCAAGCTTCGAATGAAAAGGCAGCATTTCCTCTTAAATCTAGCAATTAGACAGAAAAACAGAGAGTGTTAGCATTCTGCCCTCCTCCCTCCTTCTCTTCTTCCTCTCTCTTCCTCATTGTCTTTCCCATCCTCTTCCTCCTTCCCCTCCTCCCCTTGTCTTCCCTCATGTCCCCCATCCCTTCCTCTCCTCAATACCTCTTTCTAGAAATCAGCTCCTTTGTCAGTCCTGGGATTAACTGCTTCTGTGCTAATCAAGCAATAATCTATATCAAGGAACACGATTCATGGGGTGGATTTAAAAGTTATGCTTTCTATTGATATCTTTTGGAAGACCCCAAAATACCCCCTTAGCAATAGTTTCTAGAAAAGAGCAGATGAGATGCTGCCATGATGAACTGAGGCCGGGGAGCTGGTGAGGCCCTCCAGCACCAAGGCTGTGGTCTGTCAGGTTCAGCTCGAGGTGAGGCAAGATGCCGCTCCCTCTGTGGGCTGACTGTCGGCCCAGAGACCAGCCCACATTCTCAGTGGCTCAGGGCAGGGCAAGGCGTTGGCGTCAGGGCTTGTCACATGTCTGCGTCCTTTGGGAGAGTCACTGCTGAGGACGTTCCAGCAGGGGACAGGAAGCACCATTTAGAAGGACTCTGGGTGGCTCGCTTCAGAGCTGTGGAACCATGGCTCACAGTGACTGTGGCACCTTGGGGGAGCGGTGACATCTCTGCCACAGGGTTGACTGTTGCACCAGGTCATCCTGTTGGCTCCGCAGGCTTCCCTCACATGTTCGTTACGGCATAGGGTCTCTAGGCTCGTGTTCACAGAGATCTTACAGTCAGCCTGAGTTCCTGAGAGAACTGAATCAAACTTGCCCTGTGATTGCAGAGAGGCCTCCCTCTGTGAGAGCAAAATGAGACACCAGTTGCCCTAACCCTCCGGTTGTGAGCCAGCCGCAGAGCCACGGCGAGTCACCTCGTCTTTGGAGCTCTGTTACTCAGCTGTAAGGTTTCAGCAGGCCTCCTGAGGAACTGACAGCGAGGCCCAAACACTACAGACATTCACGAGAGGACAGCCACTTTTTGTGGCCCCAGGAGGTAGACGCAACAGAAACAGTCATCAGCGGGAAAATATAAAGAGCTCCTCTGTGCGGATAGACCTCAGCCACAAGTGAGGGCTGGTGTTCTGTTCACAGCTGAAGGCAGCCATCCTACGAGGCCTCAGGATGAAGGCAGCCATCCTACCAGACTATAAAAGCTAAAAGCGCCTGCTGCTGCCGCAGCTTTAGAGTTGACACAGTGTTGAGAATTGCTCACAGCCTGTTCTGGGCTGAACGTTCATTCACACTGGGTGTAGAGTACTAGGCAGTCACAGAGCTGAAGAGTGTGGCAAGCTATTCGGTCAGACAGCCAGAGGGGCAGAGAGCTGCACAGCCACACCCTTCAGTCACCTGGCCTAGGAGTAGGTTTTAGTGTATGGAACTATGCACTGTACACAGTACCGCAGGCTAAGGAGGCCTGGGATTCGGTGTGCAGTGGTCTTCACAGTCAGTACTTGTTATGTGGATTCCTTTTTGCTTTGTGAAAATTTTGCCCAAAGCTTCACTTCTCAAGAGTGTCCTCAGGACAGCCTGCAATGTGTGGAACACAGTAGAACAGCTTTTAGCCGTGGAGAAGTGAAAGTTAGTACTCAAGCTGCACGCAGAGGAATCTTGGAAACATAAAGACGATGGTTGTCAGGTGTAGTGGAATCGTATTCAGACTCGAAAGGGATGATCAGGTACGAGCTCTGTGCAGGGGAACCCTGAATCCGAGGGCTGAACAAGCGACCATTTTAAGGTTGCCAGTTGCCCGATCCCGCTTACGTCCGGCATAGACTAGATAAGCCATACAAGCGGCAGGCAGACGGCTGGCTGCCAGGCCTCGGGGATTGCCCTCAATGCTGTGGGCATCTTCAGGGTGACAAGGGTGTCTGGGAGCCAGTCAGAGGGTGCTCGCACTGTGAGCAGACTGAGCGCTGCCGAGCTGTGCTGTGCTGTGGCTTGCTTTTCTGTTGTGTGACTGTTGCCTCAGGCAGAAGGGGCACTAATAACCTGAGCATCTCCTCTGTGGCTTCTAGGGAGTTCTCTGGACACGCCACGCTGGCTGGGGTTCCACTGGCTTCGGGCCTACCTCCCTGTGGCCGTCCATAGCCTTCCGGAGCCACGCGGCGGCAGTGTGGACGAACTGACTCTGCTGAGAGGGGAGCCGGTCTTTCCCAGGTCAGAGGGTCTGCATTGTTTGGGGAGCTGGCCAGGTACAGGCTCTCAGTGCTGCCTGAGCCTCACCGGGTGGTGCCCCTCTAAACCAGAGAGACGGCTGGCTCTGCTCACAGACAGAGCTCAGAGCGGCGAGGTTGCTCCGGGGCTGCCTTCTCATCTCGTGACTGGGGCGTAGATTCCCATGAGCTGGCTGACTTCAGAAACTCCTGAGGAGACGGCCAAGTGTGCTGACTGCCCCCTCCATGTCCACCAGAGAGTGAGGCGTAGGAAAGGCCCCGAGGCAGAGGAGGTCAGGCCAGGCACCGTGTCGGCGTTCTCCTGCCTCTCAACTGCCATCTCCTTGGGGCTAAAATGGAGTGAGAAGAAAAGGCCCAACCGACCCTGAGCCGTTTATTTATTGGCAGCTTCTGGACATGGCACCGTGTCTGATGCAGCCGAATAACTGTGCAGGAGCTGCAGAGCCTCGGTTAACTCCCGGGACTGCAACATTCGGCTTCCTGCTTCTCCAGGCGTCGTCCCGGTGGTATTTCAGCCCAGGGAGACAGTTCTACTTCACTCTGAGCTCAGGGCTAAAGCTTAACCTTTGGTCCCCATGATAATCAGTTGGGACTCTCTGTTGGCCATAACCCGGGCGGTAGAACACACCCGAGGTCTGAGAACTACAGTGTTTACTGAGCTGGTGTTTCTGGGCCGTGTTCAAAGGACACCTGGCAGGTACACACAGACAGCCTTGCCAGCAAAGGGACCCCAAACGTCACATAAACCAGGAAGTCAGAGCACAGCGCACGAAATCCCGTCCCTGTCGCCTGCCTGCCATAAAGTGACTCCTTCCGGCATGGACGAGAGCCAGCCTTTCATCTGTTATTTGACTGAATGATGAAAGTGGCAATTAAGTTTTCATAGGGTGTGTTTACATAACTTTCTTTTGAAAAGCCAACAGCAGTGTACACAACCAGCTGCCTGTGTATCTGCACAGGCTGGGGTGGGACAGGCTGCTTTGTGGTAAACACAGGGAGCTCACCACACCGGGTTCTTTATTTTCAACTTCTAACAAAGTTTTCCATTAACTAAGAACTTTGTTGGTTGGTTCATTCTGGCTACTAAAATAAGAAGTGAAACTTGTGTCAGGCCCAAACCTGTCTTTATTGCCAATAGAAAAGCTAAGACACAGGGCTGTTGCCCCGGGGGATGTGCTTGAAGGTTTATGAGGGGAGCAAGTGATGTATGGCTGAGGTCCTAGGAACACCAGCTCCGAGTCGTGCCGTGTCTGGGACAGGCCTGAGGAGATGTTGCCGACGAGATTTCATGCCCCTCTCTCCAAGCTTTGAGTACTTGCAGTTTTACAGCGTTCTTTGACACAACCTGGCTTGCTTCGTGTTCATCAAATTTAACAAACAACAAGACTGTTCTGTCATTTAAAAACAACTCCATGGCATGGGAAACAAAGAGTTGCTAGTGCCTGGAAAGTTCCTGAGGAAGAAACAATATGCACTTAAAAATGAAAGATCAAGAGAGCTGGAGAGATGGCTCAGCAGCTAAGGACCCAGGTTCAATTCACAGCACCCTCCTGCAGCTCACAACTGCCTGTAACTCCAGCCCCAGGGCATCTGACATGTTCTCTTGTTTGTGAGAGAACCCATGAGTGTGCACAGAGAGGGGGAGGGAAGGGGGGAAGGAGGAGGGAGGGAAGGAGGGAGAGGAGGAGGAGGAAGAGAGAACAGTATCGCCTATACTCTGTCGGTAGTGAATGCTTCTCTGTGAACACACATGCACTACCCTAGTCCTTGAATTAGGTGTGTATATGGATAGAGACCCAAGTCACCGAGTGCTTCAGGAATCTCACTGACTAGATTCTTTCTCTGTGGCAAAGAGGAGGCGCCAAGCTGCATTCTGGGCTTAACCAGAACCCTGGAGGGAGAGGGGCATTCATGAAGTGGTGGGGCTCGGCCCTGATGGCTGACGATCCTCTTTTCAAGGCAGTGAGGCATTTGTTTGTTCTGGAAGCCAAGACGGACCTGGCAATTCTAGTCTGAATAACGTCCACCTCCGGAGCTGCTGTTCAATTTCAAGCTGGCGAAACACAAATGTGGGAAAAGTAAATAAAATCGAGACAGAGGCTCCAGCGTGCCATGCAAACACCTAATTCTCTCCAGGTGCAGTCAGGTGCGGCCTCCCAGGGAGAAGGGGCGGCCTGCAGGCAAGCTATTCATTGTATGTGGACCCTGGGAAGGCCACCCCTCTGGGTCTGTAACACTCACCATGCATCTTTCTCATGCATAAGCTGCCTGCCAGCACTGGGAAGAGTGTAGAGTGACGTTTCATTGTGTGGAGCAGAGGTTCTCACCCTTCCTGACACCGTGACCCTTTAATCCAGCTCCTCATGCCACAGATAATCTTTGTTGCAGCTTCGTAACTGTGTGCTACTGTTATGAATCATCAGGTGAGCATCTGATTATACAGGATATGTGGTGTGTGACCTCCAAGGGCGTCATGGCCCAAAGGTTGAGCACGGCTGGTCCGGAAGCTGTCCTCTGGGAGGCGGGGCCCTGCGTCCTGATCCTCGGCCTTTGTGCTCCCCGAGGATCTCGCTGGAGAAGGAGCAGGGACATTGTCCAGCTCTAAGTGGCTCCAAACACTCCCTGACCCGACGCTGCCCTTGGCAGCCTCTCTCTGCCCCTTCTTTCCACGGCTGGACGGCACCAGACGTGAATTGCCTGTGACAACGCCCCATGGTCCAGACTCTTCTGGTCACACATGGCGCCTTTCTGTGCATCTGGAGGAGTGCTTTCTGCACCTGCCTCTTACCCTCCTCTTCACAGCCCTCTCCCCCACCCCTGTCTTTCCTCCTCTGCGTCGAGACAGAGGTCCCTGGTGTATCCCCCTGACAAGGAGGGGAGCGCCCCAGGGAGCCACTGTATTAGTTATTTTTTTGCCACTATGACCAGAAGCAATTTAAGAGGCTTTTGAAGTCTTGCCTGTGGTTCCAGCGTGAGTGTACATAACAGCAAGGGAGGCCTGGCAGCGGGCAGCAGATCCCAGAGGCCACGCCTCAGCCACACAGAGGGACTGGGCCCAGGAAGTGGGCAGGGCTGCAGACCCCGAAGCCTGCCTGTGGTGCTGGGCTTCCTCACCAAGGCTTCCAAAGCTTCCACTGCCCCAACACAGGGCATTGACAGGGCTCCGGGCTTCTAGAGACACGACCCTGTTGGCGTTCAGTGACCACAGGGACTTTAAATGACTCAGCCACTGGTTAGAAGAGCTGGCAGGGACTTCCGAAGGGGGCAGCACAGTGGGTGAAATGCTTGGCACACAAGCATACGGGACTGGGTTCAGAGGCTTAGCACTCACGGAAAGCCAGGCACAGAACCTGGCTCTGGGTAGACGGAGGCAGGAGTCCCCTGGGGCCTGCTGGCCAGTGAGCTTAGTCAAACCAGCCAGTTACAGCCAGTTAGAGGCTCTGTCTCCAAACACAAGAGAGAGATTGAGGAAGAAAGCTGGTGTCAGCCTCTACACATGCTCCACATGCATTTACACACCCATCTATGTGTACACATACACACACACGTACACACACATGCACACACACATGCACACACACACACACACACACACAAATACACCTTTTGATTCCCTCCCTTCCTCCCCCTCCTTTTGTCTTCCCCCACAATTCCCCTGTCACGGCCATCTTGATAATATAGAAAGTTCTGATCAATATGGAGTGTTGAACTTTGCAGGTGTCTTAATTATTTTTAGTGGAGAGAAAGTCTAGGGATTTCTTGGTAATGACAGTCAATAAAGCTCTATGATTAAGGGATGAATCATAGCCATTTAAAATAAAATTTTGTTACAGAACCAATTGGAGCTTCTAAAATAACCTGCAGTGTTCTAAGTGAATGGCCCAGAGCTGCCAAACACAGGGCGGTTAGGCGGAGGACACAGGCGGAGGCAATAGAGCCTCCTCTAAGATGTAAGACGTGTATTCAACACACGTGTGTCTGGGAACCTGGAGGGAAGTCAGCCTGTGGGATGGGAAGGCTTCTCTGCACTGGGGAGTAAATCCCGGAGGCCCATGGACAGGAAGACCACAGGTGGGAGGGTAGCACCTTCGGGGCCTCAGGCCATGGGAATTAGGAAGCACGGGAGAGCTCTCCCTCCCTTGCTCGGCTGCTGAAATGCATTAGTCCGCTCTCTAGAATCCATGGGAACTGCCCGCTTGATCCTTGGCACATGGTCCTGATAATGGAGCAATTAATGACTAATTAGGAAGGTTTTCCAGAACATTAGGTTCTGGAAGTCTTCTCGGAGCACCGCGCCTTCCCTCTCCTTCCTGTGGTTCGCAGCTCAGCAGGCTCCCAGCTGGGCTGGGGTGTCTGTGGAGGCTGCAGAGCTGCTCCATTCACTGCCCTCACCAGCAGTCTGGAGGAGTGAGATGTGAGCCCTGGCCACTCACTGAGACAGGCCCGCATGGCTCCCCTCCAGCCTGAGCTGGATGTGGTGAGTCGGGCGAGCCTGAGGAGGGAGGATGATTGGAGGGGCAGCTGTGGTCTTTTGTCCCTGAGGTCCTCCTACTTCCCACGGTAGCCTCCTGGTCAGGACAGAGGTGGTGAAGACATGGTGGGGGGCAGGGCCCATGCTGACGGTGAGGATGACTTTGGGTTCGAAAGGGTAAGCGAGACAGGAGCTGACGCAGGCCCGAGACTTCTGGAAGAGGAAGGGTAGACAATAAGCAATGGCTGAAGCCAGTGTGGATGGACAGATGGGTGTACCTTCAGTCACGAAGCTTCATTTGGGTGTGTCTGCCCTCTCACACACATGGGGAGCACTATGCCTCAGGCTCTGCTCAGGACCTGGACACAACAGCGCAGAGGAAATCCCCGCTCTCCTGGATTAATGGTGGCACCTTGGGTGGAGCTCGCTTTAGGGTGAGGGGCGGCTGGGAACGCCAGCGTGTCCTCTCTCCTGGGTGCTAGCTCTGCCCCTGAGCTGCGTCAGGGATGTCACAGGCGTTGCCACTGTCCCCAGGCAGACAGGAATCACGGTATTGTCACCTGAGAACCACTGGTTCCGAGGGATAGAAGATGAGTAAGTAAGTGTGCACATACAGACAGAGAACACAAGGCTGAGGGAAAGAGTGTGGCTGGGGGGCAGTGTGGGGGCCATGGGCCCTAGGGAAGGGCTGGTGCGGTGTGCTAGTGAAGCCCATTCTGCGGGAGGAAACAGGAGCGCGCCCGTAGAGGCTGCGGCTCCTCAGAGCCCTGGGCCGGACCGGGCCGGATCACCGATTAGGCTGCCTTCCTCCCACCGGCCAGCGGGGCTCAGCAGGGTCTCCACTCTGATCTCAGGAACTGAAATCCTGGAGCCGACCAGCTGAGTCCTACCGGGAGGCTCAGAGAGAATGCCTTTCTGGTATTTTCCAGTCGCTCGCAGAGAGCAGGGTTGTGGACCGAGATCCCAGGATTGCTAAGTCTCACCCCAAGCCTCCTGCTGCTCTGTCCTTGCCCGGGGTCCCTGCCCGTCAGAATGCTTGACGTTCATTCTTGGAACCTCTCCAGTTTTCCCTCCGCCTCGGGGTGAGACACTGTCTTGCCTTTAAGCATGTGGACCACGCAGCCAGCCCAGATTGGCAGCCTCTCCTCCACTCGTGTCAATGAGGTGCCAGTGGCCGGACACTTAGACTGATAGTCCACAGAAGGGACACTGAGCTTCACTTCTGGCTCCTTACCCGCTTACCTGTGAAAGCCATGCACCACATTTCAGAACAGGTTGTTCCAAAGCAGGAAAGAGACACAGGCTGTAAGGGAGCCTGTGCGAGCTGAGATCCAGTTATCAGAGGGAGTGTACCCCAAGCCAGAGGCTACCACACGATGTTATGGGGCGAGCCGATAGCTTTCTGCTTGGATTTCAGGTCTTTTGCACAGCAGGAAAGCCACGCACGGCGCGGTGCATGGCTGGAGAGAGCGCAGGCCCCGGGGAACCAACAGCTCCGGGTGTAAGCAGATTCACCTTCCGAACACTCATCTTTACAGCGTGGACTCCTGTGCATCTCAGCAGAGAAGCTGTGGGCAGTGGTGAGCAGAGGTCAAGAGGTCATAGTGCAGAGAACAAGCGGCTGCCTAGCGCTT